GGGGGGGGGGGGGGGGGGGGGGGGGGGGGGGGGGGGGGGGGGGGGGGGGGGGGAATGTGTCCATCAACAAAACCAGTACACTTGTAATGGCATTATGGCATGCTTCTCTCCCGAACTTCGCACTCAGGTCAAACAAGGTTTGGCTTCGGGAAGGTACAGTACAGCCGGCGGGAAGTTGGTTCGTAGAAAGCTCTCGGTGTCACTGCAACAGCACCAACGCCTCGCGCACTTGCCACAAAATGAAGCCAAGAGACGATAGACATCATACATCCCATTACAACACCCCTCCCCCCCTCCCTCTACAGAAAAAAAAAGGGGGAATCTTCACCCACAGGCCGATATGACGCCGGGGTTGTTCAATACTCGGAAAACGTGTTCTACGACAAAAAATAGGGGGGGGGAGAACCTGTACACTCTTAACGCTTACGAACAACAACTATTCTACCCATGCTGCTACCTGCCATCACACCATGGAACACAAGCCGCAGAGAAGGTACAGTATGGGTGTTTGGTCACTCACCCCTCAAAGACGTAGCTAAGGTACGTGCTGAGACGCAGGAGATAGTAGCAGCAGTAGGCATACGTCCACGCCGTCGAGTATCTTGTCCCCGCCATCCAACCGGACAACGGTCCCTGCGTTCAAAGCCCAACCGGCGGATATTGTCAAGCTAGTAGGGAAAGGGGGTGACGCTTGTTGCACGATGCATGAGTCCACAGGCGAAGAGGGCTTTCGTTTCGAAAGCTATCTTGTTGTGTGGAGCGTACTTGACGGTCAGCACATGGTTGTCCCTCGTGATAGCCAACCTCGCATTGGTCATGGGGTGCAAGTAGCCTGTATTTGGTCTAATGTTGCCCTACAAAGTCGTGGGCTTCATGGCTGCATGGCGGCACGGCCCGCGATTCCCTCGTGCGAAAAATTGAGCACTCTCGTTTGTTGCGGTTCGATTTATGTCACTGTTTATTCGCCAATCCTTTCGTAGTTCTTCCTACTCAACTGTCTGACCTCTTTTTTCTCCACGACGATGGAGGGCGAAAAAAAACTGTATGAAACGCGTTCGACTCGAGAGTTTCGGCTACCGTAGCCCATCACCCATCACGGGGCAACCACACGGAACGACGACAAAGCAAGGGTGCATGTATCGCAGGGGGCATGGCCTACCTCGAAGGCAGTCCGGACCCTCTACACAGGCAATGCCCTCCCTCCCCATCCCACATACGAGGCAGATATTCCCTGTCCGCATTCAATCATACAGTGCATCTCTGCCGGCAGAGATGGCTATCTCCGTGCCGGACGCGTCCACAAACAACAGGCGCAGACACTCAATTCTTGCGGCAGGAGCGAGCTCCTGCGCTTCATCTCGCCCTCAGTCAAATGAAGCAACCAATAAGTCACGTGCTGCGCGAGCCTCCCGAATCCAAGAAAATGCCGAACCGAAGCGAAAAAACGGGGAAAAGAACAAACGAAGCAAACGAGAGAGCGCAGGGACATACGCTGCCGGGTATGCCAACCGAGCACATCTACTACCCAATCACGCCCAGGGGAACAAAGGAAGACTCACCCACAACAGCAGAAGCAACAGCATCGGGAAATAGCCGCAATTGATCACGAGGATCAGCCCGTCAAAAACCGCCAGCCAGCGGATCGTCTTCGCCAGAGAAGACGCCTCCATTAGCTTCGCTTCATGCGGCGCCATGAACCCCGCCACGCCTTGGTTTTCGTCGGGTATGTGTGTGTGTGTGGATTGGTGGAAATACGAACGGCGTTCGAAGAGCCAATTAGAATTTAGATGGCGGGGGGGGAGAGGGCGTGGATTGGTGGAAATACGAACGGCGTTCGAAGAGCCGATTAGGACGTAGACGGGGGGGGGGAGAGGGTGTGGGGGGGCGTACTCTTATGTTTTGCATGCCTTAGCGGTTAGACCATTGACCACGCGTCCTCGAGAGGACGGAGCATTGTTCCCACAGAACCGATCACCGATGGCCAATCGTTCCTTTCTACTTTGCCAAAGGTGGCTCAAAAATGTCTTCCCTAGTCTGTCTATCCTAACGATATCCCTTCCCGCCTTTTCAACCCACCTCCTATGCCCCAGTACAGCTACCGTCCTTTCCTCTCTATTCCATGCCTCAAACATCTCCCTGTACGTCCTATCTATTTTTCCCAGCTCAGTCACGGGGAGGGGTGGTGGAAACACGAACAACGTTCGAAGAGCCAGTTGGGATGTAGATGGAGGGGGGGAGAGGGTGTGGGTTGGTGGAAACACGAACGGCGTTCGAAGAGCCAATTAGGAGGTACATGGAGGGGTCCGGGTGATGTCGCTAGAGTGTGGCCACCTCCTGGTCAAACGAAACCGATGCAGCTGATGTATGACCGGCTATACAGTAACCGCTCCACTGCTGCTGCTACTATTCGACAGACTAAACAGCAACCGCTGCACTGGGTGCTACCCAACGGCAGTCCATCCCGCCTGCAGCGAATACCAACGTCACCTTCATCGCGTCAGCGGGGGTCTACGACAATAATACTACTACCGCTGCGGTGACCCCCCCAATACTTCTCCGCAAGGTCGGCGGTGTTCAGCAGTTACAATGCTTGTGTTCGCTGCCTGCTGTCGAGACCTTGCTCACCGAGGTCGGCTGGATCGAACGGCACAGAAGGGGGAAATATCGCCACGTACTGAGTGCCGGGAGCGCCGGGTTGCACCGGCATTCCCCTCGCTGCCGGCAGCGCCTGCTTCCGTTGCGCACGTGCGCACGAACACAAGCGAAAAAATGCGCCGGCGGTAAGCAAAGCGAGGGCCGCATGGTAAAGGCGGTTGCTTGATATCGAGCAGAGAGGGGCTCAAAAACGAGAGGAGCATGGGGTCAACAAGTGCCGGCCGGTATACAATGCTCGAACCCCTTGTCTCTTTCCGCCATTCGATCGGAATCTATCGCTTCACAGCTCTTCCGACGGCACTGCGTTTCCTTACCGAAGGGCTCTGATCCGGTATCGCAGAGAGCTTAGAAACAGAAGAGCTGATTCGTCCGGTCAAACCCCAACGGGAAAATACGTTAAGACTTTCTTTCCCCGCCGTTTATGCCCTCTCCCGCCACAACATGCTTCAGCGGCGTGTGCCCTCCAACGCCTGCCCCGGGGAAATGATTTATTCCCCAGGAGCAGCAGCGGGTCGCTTATTCTCTCGAACTTGTGTGCGCTTCGCAGCGTAGGGTCAGACCTTGTAGTCCCACTCCCTCCATGCATAGCGCCGCCCTTCTTGTACATGAGAGCCGAGACTACTGCTGCACACAAAATGTACATGGAACTCTCCGCTAGAAACAAAAAAAAGTTTACTGCTGTGGTATATTTTTACCCTCTGCGCCGATTGCAACTCTGAATCCGTTGTACGAAACGAATGCTCGACGTTCGCCGGAATTGGAAACAAGGCTTGGCCCGGGTTTCAGTTTCTGAAGAACGCGCCGTTACAAAGTATATGTACCGCTCCGCATTACAGCAGGCTGGCTACTCCTGTATCTACGCACAACCAGTAGAAAATATCCAGAGCGAAACTCCAAAGAATCACGTGTGATGCGCAGCTGAACTGACCCGTTGCAAGAGCAGCGGCAGGAAATTCAAGCAGCTGCGAGGACAGCGCCAGCGGTGGTGCAAGAGCAGCTGCGACAAACGGGGAATAATGCGGACAATTTACAGACTGCTGCTACCTTGTTTCCGATGTACATTTCCGAGTACACTTGTAGCCAAAACTGCGTACCTCGACGGCATCAGCAGTACAACCCGGCGAGTGACGAGGATGAGTTCAGCCCTATGAAATTTCTAGCGGTGCACAGCAGTGAAGCAAACCGCGCGGGGCAACAGCAGTCGACGGACACGCTAAAAGTGACACATCGCGTGGCGCTCAACACTGCTGCTTCTGCTGTACGTTCGGTTATTCCAGTACTCGCTTCTCACGTTTCGATACTCCTCCTGTTGGAGTCTCTGTGCCAAGTCTTCGTCATTCGTCGTCGGTCCTGGCGCGGGAGCAACGGCGGCAGCGTTGCTCCCCTGCTGATACGAGCTTGCATAGTAGGGCTCATCAATGGGAGGATCACTTCCCTTGGGGTCAGACATACGCTTAGTGGAACTTGTAGCGTCAGACACACACACTGGGAAGAAGCAAGTGCAATGTGCATTGATTGAGAATAGGGGGCGCCGTGGAGATCGACGACTGAAGTTAATGGGGTCTGAGTAAACATACCAACGCGAAAACAAGTCTACGTCGCGAACCCCCAAGGTTTGAATCCACTTTGGATCCACTTGGATCCTGCGTTGTCGCGCAGCTGCGCACACACCTCGATAACAGCGGTGAAACTTTGAGTAGAAGAGGCATCCAATATTGCTAGGCTCGAGGCAAGTCGCCCATCTTTTGTTTGCACAACATATTTAGTTGTGCATGATTCATGCATGAAATCCCCGCGACGTGTGAGTGGATGCGATGTACAGCCTGCTGCTGCCGTCATCTCAGATCCATCCGCGGATGTACTGCGCTCAGCATCCTATGTAGAGCAAGGGCGAGGGCTCCATGTTCGATACATGCGGAGGGGTCACCACCGTCACCATGTCATCAACAGCAGCAGCAGCAGTGGACGCGCCGACACGACATGTGCTACATAGCTTAGCTTGATGTTCGACAAGCTCGTGGATTTGATGCCGTCGTGTCCACTCTGTTGTTGTTGTTCATGTCCATCACGTCGTCGCTGAGTGTTCTTTCTCGGATGGATGTGAGCACCTTTGGCCCATCCTGGCCACTCGAATGCGAGGAGAGGGTCGTCACCACGTACGTGCTTGTTCGGCGTACAACGTTTTATGGCCTGATCGGAGTTACAGACTTCGCCACGAGACGCCACGCCGCTAAACAACAACCAGTGATGGCCTCAATATTGGTTCATGCGAACGAACGCGATGCGCGAAAGGTACGATCAGCCGCCGTGGAGTCCACGAAGATGGTATTTTCTTGTTCTTCAGCGCAGTTTTCACAGACAACAGTGCACAAAATTCGCGCGGGTTTGATGAACATCGAGCGTCGTCACCGTGAAGATGACATGGACAAGCTGGATGCAACGAATCATCGTCGTCGAGTTTTCACGGATGGATGCCTATCAGCCGTTGGCGCATCGCGACCACTCGCATGCGAGGAGAGGAGTAAAAGTCATCACCACTTGGTACTTGTTCGGCGTACAGCGTTGTATTGTACTGATCGGACTTCGACTTCGCAATGGGACGCTACGCTGAACAACAAGGCCTACAGAATGCCCACAAGCGATCGGCCATGCTTAAATTGACAGAAAAATGGTTGCTGCTGCCCCGCTGCGGCTTTACCCTCTTCGTGAGGTCCCGGCCATCCCACAACCCTGCTGCCCGCTGAACTACTTGCTGAATGCGGAGCCTTCTGGGGACGTTTTAACGAGCCTGGAACGTCCCATCTTGAAACACAAATATTTTGTTCGCGGTTGGAACGGAGGAAGTCCCCTTCCGCTGCTGCTGCTCCTCCTGCGGAATTTTCTGATCCAGGCCATTCACCGACTCGTGGATGCTCCCACCTTCGCTGCTCCCGAAGCTGCTACTCCCGGTGTCTGAACCGGCAGGGGGTTGTCCGCGATTGTGCAATGCGTCCTCCTCACCGCCCCCCAACGTATCCTTGCCAGCCGACGCGGCAGCTGCTGCAATATCCATGGCGGCAATCTTGAGGGCCTCGTTCAGAGTCTCTACCTTCGGGGTCCAGTGGAAAAAAAATCATATTTCGGTTTTTGAGGGATGGGATTGATTGCGATGGCGTGCGCACAAAAATGGGGACTGACTCCGGATATGGTGGTCGTGGCATTAGTCTGGGACAGGGTTTGAACCTGGAGAGTTCGTGCCCGAAAGAGAGAATTGACTTGTGGGTTTGGCCGGTGGTGGAGTTTGGGTAGACATCCCGACACCCATGCGTATCACTGATCACGCCTTTCCCCCGCCTAGTCGCATCAAAAGATTCAGCCTTGCTGGCGTCCCGATACGTGTGTATAGTTTGAAGCGTCTTCCGTCAAGTCGGGGCAAGTAACCACCTCTTTCTTACGCAATTCTCACGCATTTCTCGCGGTACACAGTCACAACCACGAGCGACGAAGAGAGCGGGCGGGATGGGAAATCCTTGGAGGCTTCGTGTCAGCTTCGTGGGATGTATTTCATTGACTATTTTTACTGAATACTTTACCTATTTCTTACGTAGTGTTCATGGGTAGATCGCCCCGGCACTCCCGTGTGAGGCATCCCGGGAACCAAAGAGCAGGCTTTGCTTTTCTGTGATTGAGACCTGTCTCTATTCACCGGTGAGCTGTCTTGTACGGTCTGCATAAACGGAAACGGCACCCGCCCACCGAGCACACGTTGCACTCACCTCATCCTTGTACCCCCTTAGCATCTTGTCGACTCTCTTTCTCGCCTCCACCTCCCGTCTAAGGGTCTCCTGCAAACGCCTCCGGTCGATGTCGAGATCCTGCGTGCTCTAGGTGTTGATGTCGATGGTGCGAGAGTATCCGGGCAACCGGTGGGAGGCGTGAGAAAGGTCAGCAAAATGCCGCAGCATCGGCGAGGTTCGGTCCTCAGAAAAGGAGAGGAAATGTGGTCAAGATATCAAGTTTGACTATGCTGGACGCAGCTGGAAGTCACACTCGCACCTACGCTGGACTCATCAGCAACGCGGGTCTCGTATCTGTTGCTTTCTACCTTTTGTTGTCGGCGGCGGGGTTCAACCTTCCTTCGTTTCCTTGTTTCACCGCACCGGTATCTCGCTTTTCTGTACCCCGCTGATAGTTCTTCGCAATTCCGTTCCCCCTTGGGTGCCAGTGTACGATTCAGTCCCACTCCTAAAACCCAACACTTCAATCTGTGCAGAAAATACTGTCGTTAACGTTGTGTTCGCTCGATAGCTAGTTATTGTGTACACAGCAATTTTTACCCCGTCAAACCTTCTCGGCGAGACGGAGAGTATCTCGCGTCAGGTTATGAGCCTCGTCCGCAGACAGAAGAAGGGTGTTCATCACCCTCGCCACCCGCCACACCCGGAGGGCCCCAAGCAGTCGCACCCCTATAAAACGAAGGCAGTTTAATTGTACCAGACCGAGGAACGGCGTAGGTGTGCAGTTGTCTTCAGATGATTGCTACTTCATATGGGGGCGTACGCGCCCACGATTATTGGCTGGGGATTAACGACGAAGCGAACAGGGTTGAGGAACGCCAGACAGTAGAGCTACGCTACGCTGTGTTGGGGACAACAACCTGCAAGTGACATGCCGAACGTGCGTTTCTTGCAGGGTGCTTGTCTCACCTTTCCCTTTGCCGGAAATCTCCTGGTAGAGGCACAAGGATACCACGAAAAGGTCGAGGATGTACCCCGCGTGTCGGAAGAACTTTCCGCGAAACGCAGCCAGCAGCATGACCATCTCTATCGCGAAAAGTATGATCGTGAACCCCGTGAAAGACTAAAACAATTTTTAAACATGTGGGCAAAGAGCGCAAGGTGGGCGGGTAGCGGAGGGAGATTGGGCTAGTGTATGGCTGTACGGCGAGCAGGTACGGGTTCGTTCTAGCATATTCTGCGGGGCAGAACAGTTTCACTTCGTTCTGCCTGGATTCATTTGCACCTGCCTCTGGATCGTATGTGTCACTCCCCCACGATGCAGTTGCGTGGTGTCGGACAAGTACGTCCACGGCAAGCATATGTTTCCTAAAGGACGCATTCGTTCAAGGTGGAATCGATCGCGAAAGCTGCTTGCTGACATAGATTCGCCTTTTTTAGAGTCCTCGGTCTCATTGCTGCAAGCGCAATACCTGCATGAATCGCGAGACGAGACGAAGCACGAAAGCAGCGAAACCAGCACCGCCGTAGGTCCCCGCCACCTCCTCCCCCTCCCCCTCGTCCCCTGCTCCTGACCCCGGCCCTGCCCCCGCAGCTTGTAAGTAGGGCAACAGCTGAGCCGTGCTGGCCACGAGATCGAAGTAAATCATCGCCACGACGGCCACCTGTACCTCATACAGTTCCACAAAGCGGCCTAGGTTCGCCGCGCTTCCCAAGCCAAGTCCACCGCCCCATCTTGAAGTTGATCCCGTCGCCTTCCCTGGCTTGTTACCGGCCTGCTGCTGGCGTTGTTGTGGATCGCGGATAACCTGTTCAGATGAAAAACAATCGTGTGGTTGTTGCTACATTTGTGGTGGGGCCCGGTTGCTCGCAAGGAGGTGTGGGTTTCTGATGCCGAACACTGCAGTAGAGAGGAAGTGACACATATTTTGTTCAACACGTTTCCATGTATTAGGAAAAGTGAAGTACAAACACAGAAAGACTACCGGTCGAGATATAACCACAGTCGCAGGGAATGTGTTGTATCCTGTAGTGCATACGGCCTGGCCTTGCACTAGTAGAGAGCGCGCCTACACTCTACAATACATCAATGACGTGTATTGTGCCGGCGACGAACTGTAGTACAACACTTGGCAGCAATACCCAAACGTTGCCCCGCTCTTGGCCCTGGATGTGAGCTTACAGACTGTTGCTGCGGTCTCGACTTGAAATTCTGTCGCTGGCGGCGGTGACTGAGAGAACCTTGGATTTGAGAATAAATCGTGCTTCGTTCAAGAGCACCAGAGAGAGGGGGGGGGGTCAGTCATACAGGCAGGGGCAGGGCTTTTTGGTATGAATTAATACGTCCAAGAAGAAACCTGAAGGACTCACCGACCCGGACGTCGGAGCTACTTCGTCGTCGCGCTCGTCGCCACGACAACCAAGAGAAGATCCAGCAGATGAAGGGGACGAGGGAGAGGACGCGGATGCACTGCTTGTTTGCTTGCGACTTACCGGATTCCCCGCCACTGATGCCCTATTGGTCGATCTTGGTGGCCTGCTGCTTGAGCGAGGGGCACTTCGCGCATTGCTGGTCGTTGGTGGAGGAGCAGCCGTCTCGGCGGCAGCCTCTGCCTCCGCCGTCGCGCGCTGTCGACTCCGAATCGCATGAAACTCGTCGAACGTAAGGAACACCATGAGGCTATGGACAACCGCAAGCCCTTGGTTGTGCCGAGACGTCGGTGGTGAAGCTGCTACGCTCGTGTTGGCAGGGGACTATCGCCTGGTACAC